TTTGCTCAAACCTGTGAAGTTGTGAACAAATGCTAAAAATTCTGAAATTAATTTTTAAGTTCAGCTGCTCGCTCAATCTGTCCCACCAATAATGTCATTTGTGATGACAAATTCTATATAAGATAATATAAGAAACATGCTAAATAGAAATGGCCTTTGAACCCCAGTGCATGAGTGTTCACCTCATAAGTGACCCCGTTGTCTGTCCCCGCATCCCATGGAATGAGGTCCTGAATCACCTTCTGGACCCAGCCACACTCTCTGGTGCAGAGGTCCTCTGATGACAGACCCACGTTCCAGTCAGGACTGGGACCCAGCATGGTCAGAAAGGACATCAGGTGACGTGTGCGGTCCACTGAGAACTCGGCTGAAGGAGCCGCTCGACTGCAGGAAAGAGATAAATCATATGCATTCATATTTATTATGTTATGTGTTAGGATTAGGTGTTAGAATATTATTTTCATGACAATAAACTGTATTTATTTTATTCTGAATAAAAATATCATGAAAATAATTCCATCACAAAAAGAGTAAGAACAGGAAGATGGTCAGAAAACAGCTAAAAGACAGCAGGCTGGCAGAGAGGTGTAAAACATAGCAAATAAAGTTTTTTTTTTTTGCCAGAAGGGTGTGTGAGGGGTGTGTAAGCACTGAATGGGTGGCCATTGTGTTCTCCTCTTAAACCTGAAAGTGGGATTCCTTTTGTAGTCATCACTCATCATTGATATTTTCATATCACAATACCTCTTATCTGGTAATTACACATCTGAACTACCATCTCTCTCCATCACTCATTCAACAGACAGCATTAGTGCAATGGCAGAGCAGTAATTGTTCGTAAAGTTTGTAAAACTAGTTATTTCTTAACTATGTAATACTATATTAGTGTTTGTCAAGCTTTCTCTAAATTCCACTAAAACGTATGGGATACAGTAATTCCTTTTTTTTTAATTATTATTATTTCCCCTATTATACATCACCCATGGAGTGCATTAATGGATGGGCGGGAGGGAAGGGTCAGGGCCATGAAAGGGGAACAGACCCCCACTCCAGGGCAGTGAAGACCAAGGAGAATCCAGAGGAACAGAAGATTGGGCGCAGAGGAATGGTTGCAGACCCAGAAGAAAGGATAACCAGTGTAGAGGCCAAAGCGGAGCTGGACGATCGGAGGACCAAAGCAGAGCTGGGGTCTCGGAAGACTGAGGCCGAGCCGGTGAGACTGAAGACGGTAAGAAACACGGCTGTACTTAACTCAATTATTTTGTACCTACAGACAAGTGTGGGTACTTACAGGTAGTGCCCGTACATGGTAACTAATTAGATACTTTACTGTACTTACTAATGTATATACATGGTAAATATATAGTACTTACGGACAAGTGGGTACAAACAGGCACATCCTTACAGTATCTGTATATGGTAACTAATAAGAAACATAACTGTACATACTAATGATATGTACATGGTAAATGTGTAGCACCTACGGAAAAATGTGGTATTATGTGGTAACAAACAAGACACATACTGTACTTGGTATATACGGTATGCTCGGTAAGTCCTAACCTTACCTAATTAAAAGAGGACTATTTTTTTCAATTGCTTGTGTAGGACTGTTAATGCTAAATTGCTCTCCACAACAGTGCTTACAAAGTTTGAATAACTGGTAATACCTGTGTAATGTTTATGTAAAATGGTGCACTTTATTTTACAGTCTATTTCCATATAATTAATATGTACGTACTGGTGTATGTACCTATTAGTTAATGTACAGAATAAGTTTTGCGGTACTCAAGTTGGCACCTACCATCAATTACTCAATAAGTACCTTGGTCCATGTCTATACCCCCCAAACTTGAGTACCGCATAACTTATTATGTACATTAACTAATAGGTACATACACCAGTAAGTACATAGTAAATATATGGAAATAAGACTGTAAAATAAAGTGCACCATTTTACATAAACATTACACAGGAATTACCAGTTCTTCAAACTTTTTTAAACTTTACCATGTATAGACCATTAGTAAATATAGTAATATGTCTTATTAGTTACCATATACTGACACTACCTGTTAGTGACCGTTATTACTCTCACTTGTTGGTAAGTACTACATATTTGCCACGTGTATACCAAGTACAGTATGTGTCTTGTTTGTTACCACATAATACCACATTTTTCCGTAGGTGCTACACATTTACCATGTACATATCATTAGTATGTACAGTAATGTGTCTTATTAGTTACCATATACGGATACTGTAAGGATGTGCCTGTTTGTACCCATTTGTCCATAAGTAGTAGATATTTACCATGTATATACATTAGTAAGTACATTAAAGTATCTAATTAGTTACCATGTACGGGCACTACCTGTAAGTACCCACACTTGTCTGTATGTACAAAATAATTACCATGCATGTACGACTGTTAAGTAAAGCCGGGTGTCTTATTTCTTACCATGTGCATACACTTCAGGTAAGTACCTTGTGTTACCACTCATTTGCCTGTAGGTACAAGATATTTACCATGTATGTACCAGGGAAGTACACGTACTGCAAAATAAAGTGCTACCGATCCATCTTTTGGGTTGGCAATTTTATTACATATTGCTGGTGTCAAGAAGAAAATCAAAGATTAAATAAACCAAAATCAAAACAAAGGAAGTTATACCCCCCAACTTGAGTACCGCATAACTTATTCTGTACATTAACTAATAGGTACATACACCAGTACGTACATAGTAAGTATATGGAAATAGGACTGTAAAATAAAGTGCACCATTTTACATAAACATTACACAGGAATTACCAGTTCTTCAAACTTTTTTAAACTTTACCATGTATAGACCATTAGTAAATATAGTAATATGTCTTATTAGTTACCACATACTGACACTACCTGTTAGTGACCGTTATTACTCTCACTTGTTGGTAAGTACTACATATTTGCCACGTGTATACCAAGTACAGTATGTGTCTTGTTTGTTACCACATAATACCACATTTTTCCGTAGGTGCTACACATTTACCATGTACATATCATTAGTATGTACAGTAATGTGTCTTATTAGTTACCATATACGGATACTGTAAGGATGTGCCTGTTTGTACCCATTTGTCCATAAGTAGTAGATATTTACCATGTATATACATTAGTAAGTACATTAAAGTATCTAATTAGTTACCATGTACGGGCACTACCTGTAAGTACCCACACTTGTCTGTATGTACAAAATAATTACCATGCATGTACGACTGTTAAGTAAAGCCGGGTGTCTTATTTCTTACCATGTGCATACACTTCAGGTAAGTACCTTGTGTTACCACTCATTTGCCTGTAGGTACAAGATATTTGCCATGTATGTACCAGGGAAGTACACGTACTGCAAAATAAAGTGCTACCGATCCATCTTTTGGGTTGGCAATTTTATTACATATTGCTGGTGTCAAGAAGAAAATCAAAGATTAAATAAACCAAAATCAAAACAAAGGAAGACTATGGTGCAAGGAAAAAGCAAACACACATTAGTATAACATTAAAGTTAAAGAACAACGAAAGAGAATATATGCAATGATAAATTATAACTCGTTCTTCTGGAAGACCGTACACCATTCCTAATATAGATCCCAGGAGCACAGTGCAAAGCAGAAAATGTATAATGACAGTAGATTATTCCAATTATTACATGGCTACTTACCAACCAAACAAACAAAGAATAAATAGAGAAAACTATATTTACACAAAGATTTCTATTTTAATAACCCCCCCACCCCCCCAAAAAAAACACTTTTTTCTATACAGTCAGTAACATAATGCATGTATTACACTTACACATAAAGAAGACTACAGTGATCACGTTTGTTACATTTCTGTCTCCAGGTTTCTGTAACCCTTATTTCTCTCCATTTCAGATATATATCTTTCCTTTGTCATTCATTCTATCATGCTGATTTGGTGGACAATAAAAAAAAAATAATAATTGTGCTACTTAATATTTTGTTGGAAACCATTAAACTTTGTTTAATGATTCTTTGATGAATAGTTCAAAATTAAGTTCAAAAGAACATAATTTATTATAAACATATCTATTTTTTTAACAATGTCATAGTTACTCATTTTAAATAAATTTAATGGGGCTTTGCTGAATAATTTATTTGAAACTTTCTTAAAAAAAAAAAAACTAATGACCCCAAACCTTTGAATGATATGCATAAATGTTTATTTCTTCATTTTTCATAGACATAACCCTATGAGAGAGAAATAAAGAAAGAATATATATCCCACTTAGGGTTTTTGGACATAAACTGCTGTTATAATGCCAAATGATAACACCTGCTTCATTATGCAGTGAGGAAGGACATTTATATCTCTGGTCTCAAGCACTTCTTGCCTCATACTGAGCATTTCATGATTCTCTGAGTCAATTCAAAAGCAATTTCATGTCTACTCTCAAGTCCTAATGCACCCAAATATACCCAATGAGGTGAATACAGCATTATACATTTGAAATTCTCTGTGCTTGAGTGATTCTCAGAGCAGTGATCAATTTATAATTTAGATCACTTCAATGTTAAATAAGGAGAAAGTAGAGCACTCTAACAACATAACCATTTTATTTTTCTTTCATCAAACATAGGTTAGGTGTTGTTGCTATCTGGGGAGAAAGAGGCAGTACTCAACTTTGTAAAGAGCTAAAGTAAAAAAAAAGTTATTATTATTTTTTTATTTGTTTTGATGAGGAAAGGAAAGAATGTAAAACATGCACACACACTAATTGCATGAACGTTACTTACACATTAAGGGGCTGCCAGGCTGGCCATTGGGCCTTCATCTTTATGACGGTCAAGACCTCGTCACCCTGTGTGATAAAAACAAAGAAAAGTAAATAAATATAGTATAGCTCTGATTTACTTCAGAGCCTAAGAACTCCCCGTAGCCTTGGTAAAATCACTGCAACAGCCTCGAGGTATTTTTTTATTTTTTTTTATCATCATTTCATATTATTTAGATAAATTATTTTGAGAAGATGGAGGAAGATAAATAGTTTTTTCCGAGAACAGATCATGACTTAAGTACATTTTTCTTACACCATTAGCAAACCAAAAATTTAACCAAATCTTGAACAAAACACAATTTGACGCTGTAAACAAGATATATTCTCTGAAAACAAGTCATAATATATTGATCAATTTTGCTTTTTAAGCAAATTTATCTTGCTTTTTTTAACAAGAAAAAAGAAAAAAAGAAAAAAAAGAAATATTGAGAACTTTTTTATTTGCAGTGTTTCTTTCTCTCAAGCCATCCCTCCATTTGTCTTGACAGGAAATGATGAATGAAGCTTCCCTTTCTTCCCGCTGATGGACTGATTGCATCAGAGTCTCATAAAAGCTGTATAAATATTTAATCAGTGGCTCATGGCACACAGGCCAGCAGAGTGTGTGTGTGTACAGCTCTATCCCACTCGAACCGTATCAAGAGTTCACGGGAAGGGCATTATTAAAGACTGTCAAGGGAATCAGGTTTACTGCTGGGGTTAAAGGACATCATTCTTTATAATGCAGCGACATGACACTTTGTTTCACACTATGAGCCTGATATGCAATATTGCCCCAGCTCTCTTACACACCAATTCTTGTCAATTCAAAAGCAGAACACAATCCTACATTAGATTAGCTTTTCCCGAAGGAGCATCACTAGAATAGCCTTAACGTGTGAGGAAGGATTAGGTTTTCCTTGGTTCTTTATAAGTTAAATGTCACAGAACAGTAGTTGTTGTTATTACAATTTAGTTCCAGGTTGATTTTATTGCAGAGGTTTAATGCTTTGGGTTTAGAACTTCAGAATATTTCACATAAATGCAGACCTACTTTACAATAATGAGGCGCAAGATAAAACAATTATCTAAAAGTCAGTGTGTGTGTGTTTTTTTTTTTTTTTACAGTACTTGTTTTCAAGCAGGGATGTGTTATAGATCAAAATAAATAGCTCATTCTTTTGGACACAAAAAGCAAGCTAGCTAGCATCCAATACATTTTAATCCTGCTCTTGGAGGTCTACCATCCTGCAGACTTCAGTTCCATAATGTGACATTAATTACCATTTCGAATCAATTAATTAGAATCTCCACCACTTATTTGTGACTTCAGTGATGACAGTCTATATTGTTGAACTGACGTGGTACAAATGACAGAGGTGTGACCATGTCACTACGATTTTGGGAAACAGTTGTACCTAGCTAATTACTTTCTCTATTGATGCATCATGCTACTTAAGTGTACTTGGTTAAGCAGCGAGTTAAGTAGTTGACGGGAAACACCAGTTAAGGTTGAATAAACTTTATTGGTCACTCTGGGAAGGGGAATTACCAAACAATCTGAACACGTGCAATATTTTCATCTAAATAATTTATTTATTTGTTTTCTTGCAGAATATTCTGTATGGCATCTCACAGTGAGGCTAACCGACAACACTCTCACATCTCTAACTAGCAGAGTGATCAAATTCACATCCTTTACACTGTGCGACTGACACGCTGTTCTTCTGTGCTAATAAGGTGAAAGAGTTTGGTCATCTGCCATCACTGCCAGGGTTGGGTGAAGGGTTGAAGCGAAGACTCAATTGTGCAGAGTTGATGGGCTTTTTATTAATAAAAAATAAACAGGGCACAGCAGAGCACAGCAAGGCAAGGCAAGACAAGGCAGGATCAGGCAGGGCAGGACAAGACGGGAACCAACAAGGGAGCATCAGACAACGAACTGGCAACGGACTGCAGACAATGAACACAATGAGAAATAAATAGGGAGCAAACAAGGCAGGTAACAAGGGAGGACAGGTGGGGCAAATTAACCAATAATCAGATAACAAGAAGGGCAGGGTCAAGACAATAGACATGAGAGCACCTGGCACACAGAAACAAACAAAACAAAAGAAAAAAGAAAAAAAAAAAACAGCACAAGCATACGGCCAGCAAAACAATCAAAAGCCATGTGCTTGAGCAAAACAAGACAAACACGTAGCTAATGAGAACACTCAACATGACAACATGAACGCACGCAGCCAGTTAAAAACATAAGCTGCGTGCTACACAGCACAAAAAAAAACATAACATGAATGTCAATGAAAATACGAGCTGCGTGCAACACAAGACAATGAGAAAGCACACGGTCAAACATGAACCACGTGCTACACAGAACACCACAGCAGAGTGTACGGTCAGAAGAGTGTATGGCCGGAGCGAACTCAAAACCGCAACACTCACACAACAAGAACCCCGACACGAAACTGAAACTGAACAAGACATGAGTGCCGGGATCCAAACACCACGTTCCAACATGAAACAAGGAAACAGGGCACGCAGATGAGAGCATGAAAACAAGACATGACAGGAGTGTCAGGGCTCTGTCACAAAACCATGAGTAAACTAGACTGAAGTGACAGAACCCTGACAATCATTTACACACTTTCATATCATCCCAAACCCACATGATTTAATTTCTTCTTCTTGGAACACAAAATATGATGATTACAAGAATATGTAAATATGTAAGTTATTATTTTCTATGCAACAAAGGCAGACAGTTATCAGGGGCTGCTAGCACCATAAAAGTTTCATAAAGTCCACATAAGCTTGTGCGAAATATTCCATATCTCCTGAGGCCAAAAAAAAATTATTTGAAAATCTGAAACAGACTGAACGTATTATTCATTATCATGCAATAAGACACAAATTGCACATACTGAAACATACTGAAACTTGGAACATCAAGGCTTTGACATCAATAATGCCAATGTTACTCAAGTATCGTTGGACTAATTGTTACAGGATGAGCTATGGATGATATTGAACTATGGGTGAACTATAATTTTAACAGTGTATAATGACAAAGCCAAACGACAAAGCAAACATCAAGATGACTCACTCAACACTCATTTCTCTCTACAAAGATTCATTATAGAAGGCATTTATGACAAAATGAGTAGGTGGCACAGATGTAACAGAAAAGGTGCACAATTTTGTTGTTAAATACTCAGAATACACAGAATGAAATTATATTTACTGGCTTCGTTTTATACACATTTAAACAGATGCAATAGTGCAGAACAACCAAAACATTAGGCAAATCCATGGCATGGTACACCACCTGTTACATTATGCACATTGTCAACTTAATAAGGTACAAAATTACAATGCAATGCATTTTTAATTAGTCTCTTCGCAAACTTTATTAGCTATTAGTGAAAAAAACAAAAACAAACAGGTTATTAATCATGCAACAAAGCCAGAAGGACAGATGAGAATAGCATTTATTTTAAATTGAAATCTTTATAAAATATAACAAATTATGTATTTACTGTCACTTTTGATCAATTAAATGAATCCTTGCTGAATGAATGTTAAATTAATGACCCCAAACTTTTGACTTTCTTTCAGTTATTAAAATTATAACTGCCTCCTCTACCCAAAGTCCCAATGCTCGTCTGCCTCCGTGTGCTGCATGAGACTGAGCACCAAGCTCTTGCTTGTGATGAAAAGCCACCTGTCAGTGGGTAAGCATTACACAACAGGCACTGGACACATCCATGCTAATCACTTGCTCCAATAGAAAAATAAGAAAAGAGACAACAAGGGTCTAATTCATCATTCTTCCATAAAATTGCATAGCTTGTAAATTATCTTGAGACTGCACAGTGTTCTTGACAGATCTGACAGGTCCTTAGCAGCTCCTAAAGGTTCTTGGCAGCAGTACTCACAGCTGTCTGATGCATAAAATCAACCACATTAGCATTAAGCATGGCCTCTTCTATATTGCTTGTTATCAACATGTAATATTCAAGGTCTATTAGAGATTATTCTCATTATTTATTAAAGTTGAAGTGACTCTTTGTAATTTAACTGTCAATATATCCACTGTTCCCCATTAGCTGTCTTGAATTAGCCTATTCTTTATATTTACGTTCTAACAAAAAAGAAGAAAAAAAAATCTATCAACAAATGTGCATCTTTAGTGATAATGAGGGCACTTTGTAGATGGGTTTTAGATGGATTGAAAAGATCAGATGGTGAATATCAATAATTATAGCAATGCAGCATAGTCTTTCTGTTAAGTTGGTTAATCAAGGAACTCTTAATTGTACACAGAATCTGTTACTGCAGTTTCTTTCATTCTTCACTGTCCACACGTGAACATACTAAATAACCAATTTCGCGCTGCTCCTGTTTACAAACTAGTGAGTTCATGCAGCAACACAGAGACTGGCCAGTGTGTACAGTATAATCACATTGTGTCTCATTCACTAATAAATGCGTAAATTATTTGTACTGGCTAAATGCGCATTCAGACACAAAATCTCCATCTTCATTTCAGGCTGCAAAACAACAAAATGTGATTATTTTAAAAGGGGGTGATTCTTTTCTATACCCACTAGGAGTGGGACAATATATTGATATGGCGATATATCGTTGTCATTCTCCATGCAATACGAGAATCGATATCTGGTGCCAAATATTGATATTTTAATTATTACAATAAGGCACTCTATATAGATTTACCTGCTCCCATCGTCTAAAAAAAAACGTGGAAATCGCGGCCGCACCATTTCCATCTTCTTTCCAAAGTGCTCGGAGCAACCATGAACCGTGTTCCCTTTCAGTCAGTCACGTTCGACGTTACGTCAGTCGTGATTTACGAATTGGGATCTCGCCCGAGAGCCCAATCCCCTTCTAGTGTTAACTAAACAAGCCAATGACAGTTGGCGTGCGTGTTTCGCCACGCGCACCCCGCCCCGCAGCGCGGGTATAAAAGGAGAGCGCGTGCAAACGCACATCAGCTTTTTGCTTCGGAGCCGAGCCTTCTAGCA